CCTGCAACAAAGAGTAACCAGCACAGGTCTATACATGGAGCGGGAGAGCCGATTGACGTGTCTGCTTTACACAGAAGTCATGGAATCTTGGAAGTGGACCAGCACCGAGAGACCACCTACTCTAACTCCCTGCTTTCCAGATGAGAAACTGGGTTCTAGAGAGGATAATTGTCTGCGTGTGTTCGTCGGCACACTTGCCTGGACATGGTGTGATGTTCTGTCATCATCCAGAAGTCCAGGAAGAGTATGTGGCTACTAACCACTTTAAAATCCTGGGGCTCTGAACTTGAAGAACCATTTTGTGTGTATAACAGATACTTGTTGGTTGTCTTCCAAGTATCCATTTTTTCCCTTGCTCCTTCCAAAAGCCTTCCACTTTTATTTGGGAATTCAAATGCTCAGCGGAAGCTGCTTTTGCTGTTGGCTCTGTGGGGAGCTAAGTTAAACAGCATATCCAAGCCCCGATAACCATCACCTCTGGGTGGCTTAAGCTAGTCAAGTCCCAGTTAACTTCAGGACTTTGCTGCGAGTACTGGAGCAAGGATGTTCCTACAGTCCTAGATGTGGAAGAGGAAGTTCATGATATTGGCACTACCTGTAGCCAGGTTAAGAACAGTAGGGGAACGAGCGTCAAGATGGAGTCAAAGTTTGTAAAGAGAGAAGTCCTGAGTCAAATTGTTGGAGCCAGGATGCTTTTCTTCTTTTTTTTAAATCACAGGAGCCAATGCATGCCTAAATTTTAAGCTATTTAAGTCATATTTTCTTTTCTATGTGGTGGCAAGAGTTTTGCCTGTTCCCTCTGGCCTGCACACTGCTGAGCACGAAGGGATCACTCAGTCTCTCAGAGGAATTTCACAAATGCAAGTGGAATAAGAGGAAAAAGTGCATTAGCATCAGTTAGTTCTTTTCCTTTGCCTCATTTCTCCGCAAGAACCCAAGTGCCATCGCTGTGGCTGCCGGGACTGTTGCTTACTCTGCAGAGAGAAGTGTCCCCACAAAACAGAACCAGAAGGCAGCACAGGGAGAGATTCTGAGTTCAAGCACCGCTAGCAGATTTCCTTTCCCGTGCTGACCCTCCTTTAGGAACAGATCCTGTCTCCCTCTTGGAGATGCAGCTCTCTCGGGAAGGGGCGTGCGGGTTGAAGGGCAGGTGGCGAGGAAGGGTTTTCAGTGTGGTGGAATGAAGGCTTCTGAGAAAATGCCAGAGATGTGTTAGGAGAGGCAGGGCTCTCCCAGGGGATTCTCTCTGTTCCATAGGAAGGTAAACTGAGGCGTCCAGCTGGGATCCTGGTCAACATACCCCAGACCCTCCAGCAGCCCTACAGAGGTTTGAACTGGAGCGTCCCAACCTCCCAATGAGGCCTCACCCTCCAGATGGCCTCTCTGCCTCCTCCTAAGCCTGCAGACTGCTTCTCTGGACGCGAACCAGATGTTCTGGGGAAAGTACTTGTGTCAGCACTCCGGGAAGACGGGCCTGGTCTCCTGAGATGCCATGTGCGGGGCTTGCTGTGTTGGGCTGACTCTGGGCGCGTGGGTTTTGTAAAGTGCAGTGCCAGGCCTTTAGAGCCTGTTGGAGCTCCCCGTGGAAGAATGGAGAAGCATGCATGCCGTGGTCTCAGGAAACTTGACGAGGGGATGGGGGGGCTGTTTGTGGCAGTTGGCAGCTGACAGTAGCTATCCAGAAGGTGCAGTAGCATTTTCTCAGCTCCTGGAGTTCTGGAAAGGCTTGAGCTAGAGGACGGGGGTGCTGGGCCTCTTCACCCCGGGAAGATCCTGCCTCCTTTCTTACTGCAAGATGGAGTAGAGCTGAGAAGGCAGAGGCCTGGAGAAAGGTGGCACCTGACGGGGTATTGAATGGTGGTGATGAAGGGAGTAGGAGGAGGTTTGGGAGGTCATGTCAGAAGATTCATGAAGTACGAGAGCTGGAAGGGATTTCTGGAGAGATCTTTCCAACATTCCTCATTTCATGGGAGAGGAGGCTCTGATTCCCAGAGGGGGAACATACTTGCCTAAGGGGTCATTGTAGCTCTTAGTGGCTCTGAGGCCTTTTTATTTCTAGACTGAACTCATTATCTATTGCACTGTAAGAAATGCACCCCGAATCATTGTTTTGACATTCTCGTGGGTCAGGAAGACCAGTGTGTCTTAGCTGGGTGCCCTGGCCCGAGCATCGCAGCCTCCTGCTCTCCAGGTGTGAGGGGCAGCACCCTGGCTGGAAGGCCTCCCTGGGGAGATCTGCTGCTAAGCTCACCTGTTGCCAGAGTCCTGCTCCTCACAGGCTGTTGGCCCGCATCTTCTGGTCCCGTCTGTCACTCTCCATATTGCAGCTGCTTCCCTCGGGGTGAATGAGAGAGCGAGAGAGGTGAGCAAGACTGACACCAGACTCTTCAACGAATCTTGAAGTGCAGCTCCTCGTTCACTGAAGCAAGCCACAGTGCCTAGGCCGCACTCCTGGACAGCAGAGGCAGGACTCCTTAGGAACCATCTCATCAGGAGCTCCCAAACCATGTGCTTTCTGTTGTTATTGCCCCTTCCTACACTATATAGCAGAAAAGGCTGGAATCAGTTACCAAAGAGGTGGGTGTTTGTTGCAAAGCTATTCTGCTCTGTCTTCCACTTAGAGAACACCCTCTTCTCCTCAAGGAAGGCAAACAAGAGGGAGTAGCAGAAGGGACACGTTCCTTGCCCCAGAAAGAAGCCATCATAGCACTGGGAAGTAATTATTTATTCTCCCCTAAAATAAATGTCTCTTTTTTTTATTGTCAGTCAGTTGCTTGGTGAGAAGATAGAATAGGAAGGGATTTGATTTGGAAACTGAAAACCTGAATCTTATTATGAAATGAAACCCCAGACAAGTCATTTACCCTCACGGGCTTCAATCTACTCATCTAATCACCAGCGCAACAATGTCATCTTCATAAGTTTAGTCAAATGACATGTAATGCCCTCCCAAATGAATGAAAATGGTCTCATTAGGAAGTCGGATGAGGACCTTCCTTCTCATGGTGCACCCTACCCTTTAAATTATGGCCACCAAAGTGACATGGCAGGAAACAGAAATAGTTGGTAGAACTCTGGTGGGAGAGAAGCCAAAGTTCCTATTGCATCATGATACTTGGGTTTGCTGACATGACAAAAATACCTGGATTTTGTGGCTGAAGCAACGGAAATTAATTTTTCTTGGGTTGGGGATGTGGCTCAGAGGTAGAGCACTTGCCTAGCATGCACAAGATCCTGAGTTCAATCCCAAGAATTGCAAAACAGACAACAACAAAAACAAAAACAAAAAACAAAAAAGAAGAAGAAATTATTTTTTTCTCATAGTTCTGGAGGCTGGAAGTCCAAGGTCAGAGAGTCAACAGGTCTGGTTTTTCTGAGTTTTCACTTCTTGATTTGCAGATATAGACCTTTTGCTATCTCTTCACATGGTTGTCTATGTATCCACACCTGCAGTTTCCCGTGTGTCCAGGTTTCTTATTCATATGAGAACACCAGTTAAATCAGTTCAAGGCCCACCCTAATAGCCTCATTTTAACTTAGTTACTTCTCCCAAGGTCCTCTGTCTAAATGAGGTCACATTCTGAAGTCTGGGCCATTAAGGCTTCAACTTATGAATTTTAGGGGACACCATTAAGTCCATAACAGAGGGTATATATAAAAAACAAAAACAAATGAACTAAAATCTGGGAGAACAAATAAGAGGTTAGTAAGGTAGCCAGATACAAAATAAATATACAAAAACTTACAGCTTTATTGATCTATTTAAAAATGCAATGCAAAAAAGATACCATTCACAATAACCACCACCTGTGCTCTGCAAAAGTATTCTCACATGGTGGGGGTGTCCTGTGACTTAGGGTTTTCTATGGGTAGGTAGGCACAGAAGGTGCATAGATTACAGTCAGAGTCTCATGAAATATCTTGGGGGAAATATTCCAAGCTTCTTCTTCTCAATCTTCTAACCACAGGAGCTTGAATCCTGAGCATACGTATGTTGGGTGAGACACCAATGGCCTACCATTCCTCTTGGTCCTCATTCCTTTCTCATCTGGAACTCTTGTCCTCAATAACCTCCTGGTCCAGTCCATTCTGCTCCAACATAGGAACATGTTAGCACAGGAAATATTAACACCTTCAAAGAAATTTTTCTCCTGGCAAGAACATCTCAAGCACATAAGACAGTCCATTTATTCCACTAAAAGCCTCATTTGGGCAATTTCCTATGAACAAAGAGACTCTGTATTCCAAAGAACTGTTGATGTTTCCATTTCTTGCCAGATAGAAATTGCTTGCAGCTTGAAGAAGTTTTTGAAAAGTTAATTATAGAAGTAATGTGTAATAAAATTTAAACAATATAGATAAACCAAAAGTCTTCTTTGTTTACCATTTAATTTCACTCTTTCCCTCAGAGATGATCACTGTTGACAGATTGGTGAAAACATTTTAAAAGTAACACAAAATTGTGTGTGTGTGTTTGTGTGCACATATGTGAGCTTGATATATTGATATATATGTATATATTTATGTATGTACTCATCCATCTTATTTTTAAATATAAGAAGTTTTATTGTCTTAAATTTAAAAGGGATCATATTATATACATTGTTTTGCTTTTGGCTTTCTTTGTCCCACTTAATAATATGACTTGGAAATCTACCTAAATCTGTACAAATGTGTATGTGTGTGTCTATGCACATACCTATGCCTATTTGCTTTTTAACTGCTGTAGACTCATTATATCAGGGGATAGCTGCAATTTCACTTGATTCATTTAGTACTCTAAGGTGTACTACAGTGGAGAGGTCCACATTAGAGTTTACAGATCGCCCACTTTTATTATTTAAGCAACTCTGTTTCACATGCTGCCATGAGCATTATGGAACACTTCTTGTGCAGAGTGTACAAAGATTTTTCTAGAACAGATAATGTCTTAGTTCATACTATTACAGCAATATACCCAAGGCTTTGTAATTCAGAAAGAACAGAAATTTATTTCTTACAGTTGTGGAACCTGGAAAGTCCAAGATCAGGGTACTGGCAGGTTGGGTGTCTGATCTCTGCTTCCAAGATGGCGCCTGGAACACTGCATCCTACAGAGGGGAAAATACTGGGTCTTCACTTGGTACAAGCCAAGGAGCAAAAGCAGGCCTACCTAGTTCTCTTCAACCCCTCAAAGGCTTCTCATCTTAATGTTGCTATGGTGGGGATTAAGTTCCCACAGGAATCTGGGGGGAAATGTCCACACCATAGCAGACCCTTGAGGTAAAATGTCTGGGTCCAAGTGTTTTCATATTTGCATTTTAAATGGATCAACTCTTCACATGTTCGTTGCTGTTGTTTAAACTTCTACCCACCAAAGTTTTAAGTATCTCAGGGCTTGAGTTCCTGCCTGAGCTCCCCAGACACAGTCCCCTGGTCCCCTCACAGTTTATGGGGGCCACCTTGCCTGGGTGGTTGCACTGTTTAGCTTGTCCCGATTTTCACCCGTGACTCACCTTCTCATTCATGTCCTGAATCTAAAGTCCTCCTTGATGAAATGAGTCTCATGATGATATGATTCTCTATTTTCTGATTAAAGTTCAAAATCTTAGGACAAAGTTTATATGTTGGAGGACGATTGACAGGTATACACCTTGGTGCAAGTTAACACAGACCTGGGTGAAGAACTCCTGGTTATGTTTCACCCTGGCTAGCTCTGCTTCCTCTTAGTGCTGAGACTGGAGGATGCTGAGTTCTTTCCAGTGGTGTTCTAGTGCAAATCTTCTCAAACTCGGGTCCAAGCGTTTCCCTAAGAGACCAGCTATCCCTTGGACACTCTGGCTGACTGCTTACTCTTGGTTCCAATAGCAGAATCTTCTGCACTCCTGTCTTCCCCACATTTATCCCCTGGAGCAAGACCTCCATGCCCACTCTCAGATCAGATGAATGTGAGTCTGAGGTTTGAAAGACCCCACATCTTTTATCAAAGGCAAAACCCCTTTACTTTGCTCCAATAATCATACATTTTTCTGATTCTCACCAGTTTCCTCAGACAGAGGTGATCCTCTTTAGTTCTGAGTAGCTTCTCAGAACTTTACAGTGAACAGGTAGCTGTGTTTTCAATAAAAGCCATTTTAGAGTCTGTTACAAAAAAAGAAAAGCTTGCAATTGAGAGAGAATGTAAAATGAACAAATGCATGTGATAAGTGCTATGTAATTCAGTTATGGCGGTGAATATTGGATTACTATGGTTGGCAAGAAGGAAAGAAACTCAAACCCAGCTTCATGAAGCTCACAATCAGAGGATTACATCAGAACAGAAGCATGAATGGGAAAAGTGATGCACTCTAATGCTTTTCGAGTATAGAGGATCTGACCCAGTCGGTGGGATGGAAGTGGAGGAAGGGGTGGTGGGTTGGCAAGGACGACTTCCAATCCCGGCTGACAGCTGTTCTTTTGCCCTTGAATTTCTGTCATAACAGGGATCCAGGTCTCCCAAACTCTGCTTCAGTGTCCTTTTTACTTTGCCATGTGACCTGGGCCCTCGATTTTTAATTCAAACTAAGAGACTGGTTTAGTAGGACTCACAAGTCCCTTCCTCCTCCTAATGGGAGCCATATGTGATCCACCTTCTCAGAAGCACCACCATCGTCTAGCTCTCCACCTAAGCCCAACAGGTTTGTTGAACAACTATTATGTGCCAGGTACTCTACTAGGAGCTGGAAAGGCAGTGGAGTATGAAACATGGCACTGCCTGTTCTCTAGGGAATGTCTGGGTCTAGGGTACCAGTCTGGTTTATGGAGCTCTCCCCTACCCTTTTGGATCAAACTGATATACTTAGAGTTGAGATGTGACATAATGTACAGCCTGAGGGCCTCAGGATGATGCTTTGCAATTTTTAGGTACTTAACCTCCTGTTGGGGATGACGTGCCTCTTGAGTAGCTGCCCTGCTTACCTCAGAGGCATGTCTGAAGGGTGAACGTGGTCTGGGTCACTCTTTCAACATAAGCGCCAGTACATGGTATAATGGCCTCTCTCTGCACAGACATTTATGGAACACTGGCTGCCATCATGGAGGGTTGTGGGAAACTAAAAATACAGTACAGAGTAGACATTCAACAAACCCTTATTGATTTAGTGGGGGAGGCTATTGTCCCAACTTGAGAGGCCCTGTAGTGAGTAATGTGGATGAGACAGAGCTGGTGATGGCTGTGTTTAGGGACACTGTGCTCCATTAGGGCCACAAAGCCCCAGCCCTGAAGCTATGATGTTGTTGTACCCATGGGGTCTGAGGACTTGGAGAAGAGGAAACACAGAGAGCCAGAAACTGAGAAGTGATAAAGCCCACTAATTTCTGCCTCCATTGATTAGGAAAAAAAAATCCATAGGTCTGTGTTTTCAACTATGGTGGGAATTTCCAGGAGAGAGGTGACGGTGGTGAGGTACTCACGTGGTCTCAGAATGGTGTCTCCCCTTTGTCTTCAATTAGCTTCCAGTCGAAACCTTGGAAAGTCAAATAGACCTAGAAAGAAGTCCGTGCTAGCCTTTGGGAGTCTTGGGATCCCACCTGTTTCTTCAGCAGGGGTGAGGCCATCTGCGCTGTATTTAGGGAGATGAACAAGATGGGACCCGAGTGTCCTCTGGGGACTCCATGATGATTTCAGTACCAGACTATTAGTTGAGGAAACCAAGATGTGGAAAATGGGCCCCCTTTTAGTTAGTCTGATAGTTTTTAAAATGAAATTCAATTAGTTAAAATGCAAGATGAAAGACACAAGAGAGCGCACGCCCCCCTTTTTCCAAGTCTGTGCTCTTTGCACACCTGTCCCCACCTCACAGGGTGCCTCCACCCACTGTCCTTGCAACACACCAGGCTGGGCACGAAGCCAGCCTTTCTTAGATACAGTTGAGGTTGCCAGCCCCCCCCACTCCCCCAGCCTGAGGCCCCACCTTCCCCTCTCCTGGGAGACACAAAGGGCTTCTGTGACTCATGCGGGAGTCACCGAATCCTCCTCTTTCTTTCGAGCAACACCAGTGAGGCCGCGGGGCCAGTCTCCTGTGGTTAACGTTGCCCAACTTCCTAAGTGTGAACAGCATGGGGGTTGCTCCTCTAGAGCTATGCGCTCGTTTGACCCCACTGTGGACCCTACTGTAGAGATTTGAGGGTCCCTGTTTGGTTCTAGCTGAAGTTGAAGGGACTGAGGGGCATTCCAGAGAGGAACTAATATTTATAAAGTACTCAGGATGCCCCAGGTACACGTGAGGGGCTTTTGCACATGGGTTTTACTCAAATTCCTCTCCTGATTCTAGAAGGAGGTGTTCTTAACTCAGTTTTACAGAGCGAGTGACAGACCTTGGAGAAGTTGGGTGACTTGTTCAGGGTTCCATAACTGTTTAGTGGTTGTGGCAAGATTCACGTGTAGAACGGGCTGGCGCTGAAGCCCTTGGTCTTTCTGCTTGTGACCTGGGGTCTGAATCAGGGGGCCCTGCCCTTGCCCGATGAAGACAGGTAACAAATGTTGGGTTCTGCTCTCCTGCATCCTAGGTCTGCTGTCAAAATCCCAACTCACTTTGGACACTGATATGCTCTGGTTTTAGAGGCAGGGGCCTGGGATGGTGTGGGGACAGTGAGAGCAGAACTCTGGTTTTGGCTCTGTCACTACTGAGCCAGCGGGTGTGTGTTTATTCCAGTGTCTAGGCTTTAACCCCTTCATCGTGAAAGGCGCCATAGCTTGGTGGCTAAGCACACACAGGTGTGAGCCACATGACCAGTCCTGTGCTCACCCGCTATGGGACCTTGGACAATCTGGGTGAACTTTGTGTGCTTCATTTTCTCCTCTATAAGAAAAAAGATCACAATAGCATCCATTTTGAGAGGGTGGTGTGATCCATCAGGATTGTTGCTGCTGTTCTTATTCCTGGGTGTAGAAGCTTCTGAACTTTTATTTTCAAATAAGTTTATGGAAAGTAATATGGTAGGAATTTATAGCTGATTTCTATCTCATATTCATTTTTTTCCTCTGCTTGCTGCCTTTGTATATGTGTAAGAGTGTGTGTGTGTGTGTGTGTGTGTGTGTGAGACAGAGAGAGATTAGTAGATCATGGTGATAATGAGATGTCAGTTCTCCCTCTGTGTCTGTCACATAAAACTTCCCGATATATATATAAAAAAAACCACTTAAAAATTTCTGTATATGTTCATAATGAATAACTTTGAGCCCCTTCCTCAAAAGTTGAATAAAATCTGGATAGAATCGATACAAATATACAGTGTTGGGTAATTTTGTCCCCATATCCAGAGAAAGCAATCTTGGAGGACAACAGGATGACCATGTAACAAGAATATACCACCTCCCAGTGACCACCTCCCAGATCCCTAGACCTCAAAGATGAAGTTAATCAGGACAATTGGAGCAAGGGGGTGAGGAGAGCAAGAGAAGGAGTGGGAGAGGGGAGGTAGTGAATGGGCTCCGTTCATCTCTCTGTGGTGCTGGCTTAGCTTGGGAGTACAGGACACAAGGAGTTCTGAGCTGTCACAATCCAAGGAAGCTTAGGGCAGCTCTAATAGAAATAGAATCAATGACAACCAATTTGTCATTTAAATTTTTCTAGTGTAGGTATCCACATTTTAAAAAGCAAAGAAGAAACCTGTCAAACTAATTTTAGCTATCTAACCTAATATGTCTAAAATATTATTTCAACATATACTCAACCTAAAAAAAAATCAATGAGATTTCGCATTCTCTTTTGATACTAAAGCTTTGGAAGCTGCCCTGTGTGTTGCAGTGAGAGCATATTACAACTCAAAATAGTCATATTTTGAGAGTTCCATAGTTACATATAGCTAGTGTTTCCATATTGGATAGAATAGACCCAGACCCCAAGGAGCTTTTATTCACTAAATCGGAACATTCTTGCTTCCTGGGTGTATGGAGTGAAAGAGGAGGGCACTTGTTCTTCCTGGGAGTTAGACATGGAGAGAGGCAGTTCCCTGAGGTAGGGACTCTTTACCCACCGTGACTTTCCATCATGGTACTCCTGGCTTTCATGAAGTGTCCATCTTAGACACTTCCAGAGAATCCGTGACTGCAGAAACATTTACTTTTGCTGAGGCATGAATATAAAATGGGCACACCCACAAATGAGCCTGGCCATCCAACCAGCATCAGCTCTGGGGTGACCTCTGTGACTTTCTCCTTGCCGTCCATATGTTGTTAAGTTTCCTGATGAGATTAAAAATTTTCTAAATGTGGGGGAATGAAACCAACTTCTAGTTCTGGTGACAAAAGTAAAATATAGGTTATATACTCTAAGCAAGTTGGTTGTTCTAGAATACCAGTTTTACAGGAAAAGTTTAATGTTCTAAAGGTGTTCCCAGATGTAGGGGTTCAAGGTGGCGACCGCTCTGTGTTTAGAAATGCTGTTTTTAGAAATGCAGTGCTTAGAAAGGTGGGGATCCAGCTCATTTAGAAATGTAGCTGGTGTGTGGGATTCTTTGTGTCGCAGGGAAGCAGTTTCTGGTATCTGGAGTAGACATTGTCGTATCTGGATGACGGCACACAGATACTCTTCTTTTCCTTCAGGACCAACTCTGATCCGCTGGAACAGGAGCTTGACCGCATTTCTTCTCCTGGAGCTTTGGAGGCAGTGATGTAAGTAAGAATGGGGAACAACTGGAGTCATTCCCATCAGGAAAGAGCGCCTCGAGTTCTTCTCTGCCACCTCCCAGCTTCCATGGTGAGGTCTGGTGTCCAGGTTTTCCTCCTGTTCCTTCCCATCCTCCCAATGGATTCTGTTTCTTCTGGGTTAACTAAATCTGTTTCTGTTGGTCTCAACCAAAGCAAATGGAGGCACGTTTTGAGCAACATGTGGGATGGGATATGGCTCATGATCTGCAGCCTGGGAGAGCAAAGAGAAAAGGAAGAGGGAAGGGATTAAGGAGTTGCCTGTTTCTCTAATTAGTTTCTCTAACGCTCAGTGAAGTTAGCCAATCCCCCAAAACCAAATGCCGAATGTCTTCTTTGATATACGGAGGCTGATTCGTAGTGGGATAGGGAGCAGGAGCATGGGAAGAATGAACTCTAGGGAGGGCAGAGGGGTAGGAGGGGTAGGGAAAGGGCATGGACTAATTAATGATGGTGGAATATGATGATCATTATTATCCCAAGTACATGTATGAAGACATGAATCGGTGTGAGTATACTATGTATACAACCAGAGATGTGAAAAATTGAGCTCTATACGTGTAATAAGAATTGTAATGCATTCTGTTGTCATATATAAATGCATAAAAAAGAGCTGGAAAGAACAGAGATAATTTCTTCCCTTACTTTTCTTACCATCTAACAGGGAAGTACAGTTAGTCCCAGAGATTTGATGAATTGCCATGGAAATTTGGAGAAGCCGAGTGAGGGACCTGCTCTTTGGACTTCTGGTTGAGTATTGTGTGTGCCCTGGGTATTGCTGCCTGGTACCCTGACTAGCAGCATCGGCACCAGCCATGAGCTTTTTAGAAAAGCAGAACCTCAGGCTACCCCAGACCTACAGAATCAGAATTTTCATCTTATCAGTATTTCCAGCTGTTTTCATCCAACTTTTAGTCGCATTATGGACTTGGTGTGGTATTATTCTTCTGTGTTTCTGAAGAAAGCAGTATTTCAATGGAGGCCCGTTTTCTCTTCCTGTGGAAGGCTGGCTCTCCTTTTCAGGGCTTCATTCTAAAGCACCGTTGAGCTGGATCCCCACAGATTGTGAAATTCAAGCTCTTTATGTCTTTTCAATAAAACACTTGTGTGTTAGACCTGAGCACTTCATAGCTAATTAATTGTAGAGATTCTTGCCTGTTGCTAATGGAAAAGAAAAATGATCTGAGGGAGTAAGTTTGTCCAGCCATCCTTGGTCTCTAATCTGTGCTCAGATTTACTTTTTACAACATACTGACTGTGTGTGATGATGTGATCATTATGTTCCTCACTTGTGGATGGCTTGTGTCTTGCTCCTTGGAGTCTGTGCTCTGCTTGGAAAGAGAAGATCATCCCCTACATTTTATAGAAGAGGGGAAAAAGCCCCAGGGAGGTGTAGGTATTTTCTGAAGTCAAGACCTAACTTCGGCAATTGGCTCAGGACAGGGTGAGAGGTTCCAGGTCACAATGGGAGCCTGGAGCCAGCTTTTGGCAGAGCTGGTAAGAGACCATTGGGGAAAACTGCAGGACTCAGCTTTATGTGATGTAGCATCCTGAGACCAAGGATTTGGAAGTAGGGCCATAAGTCAGGGTCAGACCGGCATAAGATACCTAAGGGATCAGTTCTAAGAGGAAGAGGGGACTTCCAACTAACTTAGGACCTGTAGTTTCTACCACTCTAAGTTATCCCAAGTGCCCTGGGAGATAGATATTATGATTGACACTTTACCGATAAGGAAGATGAGATGAATGGGATTTCAAAAATCACCTACATCTCACCACTGTAGAGTGGTCATTCAGATGCAGGGTGGCTTGCCTAGTGCCCGTCCCTCTCATGTTCTGTCATGCCAGCTGCCCGGAAGGTCTCATTCCTTTCTGCTAAAGGTCAGACTTGGTCACAGTGATAGGGAAGTTGGGCTATGAAAAGAGACGAAATGGCCCCAACTGCACAGAGAGAATTGTGTAAAGGAAGGACTGATAGGTCCATCAAGGTCACAAAGAGGGGCTGTGGTTTTGATGGAATATAGACCCTGGGATTTAGTGCCAGATGTCAAGGAGATCTTGCTCTTCTACACTGCTTTGGGCCTCTGGGCTAAGATAGCAGGAATGGCTGCTGGGCTCTGCTGGAGGAGCGCTTTCTTGTTGGGCCTGGTGTAAGACTGGAGAGGGAGAAAGCTTGGGTGGGGCCAGGCGCGAGGAAAGGCAGGCTCTGTTGGAGCAAAGTAGAGAGCTGCGTCATTCATCAACCTGGCCAAGCAGACCAAACTAAGGAAACTAAGACCCCGTGCCCCTAGAGGTCAGGAACTAAGGCCCTGTTCTGTTTGGTTCTTTCCCCAGGGTTGGCCTGGCCATGAGGGCTCAGACTGCAAAGACAGAGGATGAGACTAAGAGTTTTCAGGCCACCACTGTTCTCTGGTGTCTAAGGACAAAACCTTTGGGTGACCCTGACAGCCGAGCCCCAGGCATGTCTGACTTGTACCAACTGCCCCTAGAGCACACAGTCTCCTCCCAGTTGCCATTTCTGCCTTCACCTCCCCAGCTCAGCCCTGAGTTTTTCTCCAGAACTTCCTGTTTGCTTGCGGTTGTCTGCACAGACACGTTGGACCCACCCAGGGTCATCTGGAGGAGACCTGGGGTGATGAGTGGGGATCCACTGTGCTTCCCATAACTCTTCCATCCACATGTGGGTCCTTTGAGCTTCACCACTCCCCAGGGACCTGCAGCCAGTGCAGTAGAGGCCCCGCATCCAAGTCAGCTCACAGTAAGGTCAAGGTGACCCAGAAGGGCTTGCCGCCAAGATCTTTAATTTTTTTTTTTTTCAATTTGATTTTTCACTTTCCAAAAAGACCGAACAAGTGATGACTTGAGGACATGGCGTTCCAAGGAAACTGGGAGAGGGACACATTCTTCCTTGGTTGGGGAGGTGAGAAAAAGCACAGAGAGTGGTCTTCCTAAGGAGTGTCACCATGGTCCAAAGACTCACAGGTGCTGGGCCTACGGGAGCCATAAAAAGGGGCAGAATGAATGTTGCTGGAGGGCAGGGACTAAGTCAACACCAGTCTTGGAACATTTCCAATACGTGGGCCTGGAAAATGTTCCTATAAACAGAATTTTCCGGGCGGCTGCTGCTCCTTCACAACTTATCCAAGAGGGCAGAGGCTGAAGTCACCAGGCAAGGATCTGTCTACCTTGAGTAGCCCCAGGCTGTTTTCCATGCTCAAGTCCTCATGGCTAATTAAAGTGTTCAGGTGTTGCAGAAATGCAATGCTGTGCGAGAAGGCTGTGATGTCTCGGGGTGAACACCGGGTTTAGAAGTCTGAACAAGGTGGTTTTGAACCCTCCCACACTCCACCTCCTGAAGGGACTTTGGCCTGTAACAACATATGGGAGAAGATAAACTGGATGCTAATGTGGCAAACTTCTAAGGAATCCCAGAAAAGAGGACATGGACCCCACAAAGTTGTGTCAGCTATGATCATCGTATCCAGAGCTTTCTCCAACAGGCCCTGCCTGCTGGCTTCTCCTTGAGTGTGGCCAACAGGAGCACCAGAAGGAGATCAGAGAAATGTCTGGATGCTTGGTCTCTTGAGATGCTGGTCATAGCTGTGATCCTCCTTAACACAGTCTTACCCCAGGGGCCCGTCTACCTGAATACACATTGGCTCTCCTTAGGCTCCTTTTCTCCCGTTTAATCCAAGGATCTGAAGCCACCAATGTTAGGCTCTAGGTGTCGTCCTCAGCAGATAGTCCCTTCAATGAAGCCTCTTCATTTGCGTCATCTTCAGGGATCTCCTTTTCCTGCAAGAAGGTGACAGATAGAGCCCTTCACCAGGTTGACGTCCAGTCGTAGCAAGTTTCCTGTGGGCAGTTAGTGTCATGCTCTCAGCATTACTGAGGCTCTGGCTTGTTCCTGTCGACTTGTGGCCCTGTGGGGAGGTCATTTTGGATCCTGTGGGTAACCTGAATGGTAGCAAGGGACGGGGGCAACAGGGCACAAGGTGCAAATGGCTGAGTCGTGTGTGAGAGTGCTGGAAGGCCCGTGACACAGGATTGAAGTAGAAATGGCCGAGCAGGGAGCTGTGCATAGGTGGGGAAGAAATGGGGGCCATCAGAAAGCTTGTGTATGAACTTGGGCGTCTGCCAGGTTGCATGGTGTGTGGGCTGATACTCACTGGAGGGTTCGCTTCAGTGTGGTGCCTCCTGAGTCAGCCCTTGCTGGAGCAGCCTGGCTGGGCAGGTGGGGGGTCAAGGCCTGGCCATCGTGACTCTGCAGGACCCCCTAGCAGGCCATCCTTCCTGATAGACTGGCTGGTATCTTCATTCAGGCTCCTTCCTCTGCTCCTTTCCTTTCCAATGGTCAGCCTCCAATGCACATCTTGCATCCAAATCTGTCTCAATCTCTGCTTCCCAAGAACCCAACCTAGAGGGTTAATTTAGAAGAATTGGCAGTAAGAGAAGCAAAAGCTCAACATCAAAATAACATTTTAAAAATTTGGGGGGGTCATGGGGGCTGCAAGGAGGTAGAAGAATTCTCAGCTGGCTCAAGAGCAGGGTGGGTTCTAGCTGTTTCCAGTTAGCACTTTCGTAGCTTCTCAAGCAAGGATTCCAGATCAGAACCATTTATTAACTTAAAGAAGTTAAACGAGGTTGTTCAGTCACACTAGGGACAAACACAGGGAGATTCATCTGAGACCAATCCAAGAAAGAGGGACAGGCAAGAGGAATATTTAGGAGGTAAAACAGGCATAACTTTGAGGATGAGGGTGAGCAAAGGGAGTGTTTTCCCCAGTCCCGTTTTAGAGGAGGAAACTGGAAATCTTAGATCAGTACAAGTTCAGCCAGGGAAAGTGAGCTCAGTTTGAAAATGAGTTTGAAGAGTCCATATGCCTGATGGTGAGATGATTTTCCACACGAACTCGAACATGGTTCTGGAACAGTGTGCAGATTCTCTAGGCTCCTGAAACCGTGAGGACCAAGCGACTCTTCCAATAGGTGAGAAGACGTGCATTTTTTTTTCTTTGGGAGACATCTGAGAAATGAATGGTTTTCTGTTGCATTACTAAAATTTGGCCCACCTGGACATCTTGTTAAGTCTCCCAATCCCGACACCCTCAGGCTGACACACCTGCTTGGGGCACAGACTCCTCATTGACAATTATGAGTTTCCTCTATCCTTGCTCTGTCGCCAGCAGACAGAATCCACATGGGTGGCCGGGTCTTGGGTACAAATCTGAGTGCTTAAGAAGCATTCATTAAATAATGATCCCTGCTAAGATTCCTGGCCAGAGACTTTATAAACTGTCTTAGGAATTTCCTAAATGAGCAGAACTCTAAGGACAGTTCTCTCCCAAATGATCAATAAGGTCCACCCAGATTGAAGTAATTTGTGCTGCTAGACACACCCAGCTAAGATTCATTTATGACATCAGAGTCATGCTTGCTGGCCTCAACCTACCCAGGCCATGTCCCTGCCCCCAGTTTGTTCCTCTCAAACCAAGCCATGTTATCAGTGAATTAGGAAGCCCCTCCCAGTGGTCCGTATGTCTGGACGCAAAGCCTCTTAAAATAATGACTCATGATGGACACTCAAATGAATTCTCCCTGTCCATTGGAGGAGAGGGCTGGTGCACTGAGACACACACACAAGAACAAAACTTAGTGATGGTTTTTGGCCAGAGTTGGACCACCACTGGATGGAATTATAAGGACAAATTACTTTTGCTATTTCCCAAGTCATCTTTAATCATTTCATTCCATCTAATTCTCACCCCTAGCTCAGGAAACCAAGTTTTTCTGAAAGATCAAAGGAAACATTTCAGTTTTCAAATTTTTTTATTGAGATGTTGGGGAGGAACAGCCAACATATACATTCCTCACTTCATTACCGCTGGCTTTTTTCCCACACCATAGGTTCTTCTGACTTTGGTCTAACTTCAGGTCTCCTTGGCAGTCCCCCCTCTGATCTCGTTGCTGCCTGGTGTTGTTTGAAGTTCACCAGGACAGGGCCCACTGGTAGATCACAAGTGGGAGCGGTAACTGCGATTGGCTGTGGGGGAAGGACAGGTTTGCAACAGGGACACCCGTTAGAACAACATACCAGGACTCTTCCTGCCCAAACTGCCCAGGAACCGAGTCACTGGGAGTAATCTCAGGCTGAGGGTCATGTAAGGGCTGCATCCAGGAGGATGGGTCTGGGGAGCAACATGTCCCCAAGTTTAACAGCTCTCTTACTTGCCCCTCACTCACCATCATCGCCCCGTTTTCTACTCTTCAGGCTGCCTTTGCGGTATTTTCTTTTGCTGCCGCCTCTCTTGACACCTTTGTGAGGAGCTCGGTTCTTGCCCCTCCTCATGCCATGACTCTTTAGTTTGCGGCTGGTCGACATTGTAATTTCTGCCAGAATGAGGGGCTTTGCAAAGCCCAAGAGGCCCGGAGTCAGGGTATTTAAGGCTGTAGCAATTGTGACTCCAAAGGGGCGTGGCAGATGGGTGGTGCTCTTTTGTGATGTCATTGGCCTTTGTTACACTTCGGTCATATATGTGAAATAAGGCAGCCACCTGAAGGCAGCTCAAGGCTGCTCTTCAATTTTGAGGTCCTATTTAGGTTAAGTGAGGGTTTCCAGACAGGTGTTACTGAACAACTAAGTCTCAGCCTTGTGCTTGGCATCTGGAGAGTCACAGAAGCCATTAAAATATGCTTCTCCTGCCTGTAGGGCATGTATCAGTCATTGGTTGTGTGAATACACACGTCTCACGGCATCTGGAGGTAATGAATGTATTTCTATAAGCACTTGACTCTTGGAGATCCAATTTAGTATGATCAAAATATACATTTTCCTTCTCTTTTATCTGACTCAGGGCTTCTCAATCTGAGCACCTTTGACACCAAGGGCTGGGTAAGTTTTGGTGGGTTCTGTGCATTGTGGGGTGTTCGGCAATCCCTGGCCTCTACCCACTAGATGCTAGTATAGCTCCTGCAAGTGTCACAACTAAACTATCTCCAAAAGTTATTGTCTGTTCCTTTGGGACCCTGGGGGAGTAGGGAGCAAAGTCACTCTGCTTGAGAACTACTGGCTTGACAATTTTTTTTAAAAAATTCAGTTACAGATAGTTACTGTTGATGAAGGATACGCCATGTACTTAAGTGCCAGGAAGACAGCGGTGGGTATAAAGGTGTGGAATGTTCAGCCTAGTCAAGGGAGAGCCACTAATCAGCTCTCTACATAGATCAGTGAATGATTTGTTAGGCTGGGGTTGTGGGGAACTTCCCAGCATGGTGCAGGATGAGGTTGGAGAAAGAGGCAAAGATCAAACCATCCTTGCATGCATTAGGAAGACTTAAAAAATGCAAAGAGGAAGACATGGTGAAATGAGAGGTCATGGAGGGGGCAATAGGTTAGGTAGGGAGCTGAGCGAATATAGGGAGAGACTGAAGCTAGTAGCACTGGTTCAGGAGGGAGCAAGATTTGATAATGCCTTAGCAGGTGACATAGAGTTGATGGTGACGTAGAGTTTAGTAAGAGGCAAAGTCTTTGTAAAGGATTGGATGTGGGAGGTACCAGACAGTGTCAAAGGTATGCCTTTTGTTTCTCTGCAATGCAGTTGTCTGGGGGCTTGTACTACTACTCAATGTGCTGAAGACCAGTTATGGACCCAGTGATGACTATGCATAGCTTCAAGCAGACTGTGTTGGGTTTGAAGAGCTCTTGAGATTTTTGAATAGAGGTACTGAATGATGGTTATGGGGTCATCAACCTTTTCTTCTTCCTCCTATTAAGTCCTTTGGAACAGAGGTCAGTAGAACCTAAGAGCTATTTCTTTGTTTTTGTCCTTGTGTTTCTCCCTACAACCGTTATCCTTATTCCAAATAATCTTATAGATGGGGGGGGGTTTCCATAGCTAAAGATTGGCTGAATGGAAGATGAGATGTAGTGCAAGCTGTGCTCTCTATTTCAGGTCCTATAGAGGTCAAATCATATTTTGATACCCAGATTCCTTGAGTGGTCTCCATGGTGACCCTTCCCACTTTCTTGTTTCCAGGCAGGTCTCCTGGAGTCCTCTCCTTGGTGGCTTTTATTCGTACAAGGATGGGGGAATATATAAATCAGTCTGCTGCCTTGCCTCCCAGGAGCTTCTCTGTCCACTCCAATCCTGCCTACAAGCAAGTGACCTTCATGAAAGCATGTATTTAACCATTGTCTTCACCATTGTACAGTCCCCAGGCATTGGTCAGTCCTGCCCCAGAATAGGAGCCCACTCAGTTTTTATGGAATACATCTGTTGAGTGAATAAGAAATCCTTCTTTTCCTTTGTTAGCTATCCTATTCTTCTCCATGTTTGTCCCCCATCTTCAAGGAAGCCTTTTCCTACTCAATCAATATTCATCGTCCTTTAAAATTTCTTCAAAGACCTTTGTCCCCAGAACATTGGCCTTCAGGTCTAGACCACGCATGAACTCCGATGGTGTGAAGTTCCATTTTGTGTAATGTGTGTTAAACGGGTCTCAACAGGAGGCAGTGTGGTGTCTCTGTTCTCCTCTGGACCTTGGCTTCCTTGTTTTATAAAGGAGCGGGTTGGGCCAGAGACTATATTGTTTTGTTTCTGTTCCATCCCCACAAGTGTTAGCATGGTCCACAGTAGGTGGTCAGTAAATATTTGTTCAGTCTAGCCCCTTTGGTATGTTATGGAAATAGACAGTCCAACACACTCAGAGAGCTTCTGTACAAGTGGGAGCATGTCTAGTCAGGGAAAGGAGCGAAGGACATTGTCCCCTCACACCTCTCTGGTGCTCTGTACTGACCCCTGTTACCTGGCTCGGCTGGCTAGAAACTGGCCACTTTGGTTTGACAGATGTTTTGTGGATGGTCCTGGAGACTAGATACTACTTCTGTCCCCACTCCCTCATACCCTAAATCCACCTGCTCTGCCAGAGAGAGGCTGAGGTCCACAGGGAAGGCAGCTAGGTTTGAGAGCTGGTGAAGAAACAAACAAAAGGGCCTCCTTTGCACAGGGTTTCAGACACCCAGGCTGACATGTGTGAGCTGCAGAAAGCCCAGAGTGAGGAAGGCGATTCACAGCTCAGCAAGGGTGGGGCTGGGGGTGTTTGAGTTGGCTCCTGGATCGGACCTCCTGGGGTGAGGACGGAGCAAAGTTGAGCTGGACCCTGCTGCCTGCTCTGTTTCTCTTTCCATTTCAGCTCCCGGACTGCATGAGCCAGGGCAATTTAGACGGAACACAGTGAGCTCACTCCTGACCCTTAGAGGGCCCAGAGCAAGGCCTTCCCTGGAGAGCCATCCGTTAGTCCAGTCCGCTCCCTGTCTCCTCACCTTTTCTTCTGCTAACTTTATTTTATATTTTTGGACAAAGAAACAACAGAGAGGATCCATGAGCTACTTCAGATAACCCAGCAACACGACTAGAAGGGACAACCTGATAGGACTGTCTCCTCCATCTTGGCTTACCCAACAGGACTTAGCTTTTGTTTCTTTTTTGACTCTTTGGTCTTATTTTTATTTCTGATTGGTGAAAGGTAATGGATATTTTCTGATAGGGAGTAGAACATTGGGAAGACAGGGTTCCTGGCCATTTTAGAAGAGGAGTTTACTAGCTCTTCCTCACTCTGGGCCAAGTGTTGTCTTACCTGGACTCAGGGGGACCTGCATGGTGTCTTTATTTCGCAGGACACAGTTAAGGTAGCATTGCAGGGAAGAACTTGGAAGCCAGTTCTTCCACTGGCTGGGTCCTTAGGTTAGGAAGGGTGGGTGTAGGGTGTTACTGTTTTGGAAGTAACAGATCTCTAGTTGGATCCCATCTTATTTCTCCTATTCAAAGTAACTCTACTCATTTTCCTGGGGAGTCCAATAGATGTCTTCACAGGGCTGGATCTTCCCAGCAGGCTGGGACTTGGGATTTATTAAGAGGGATCATGGAAAAGTTGCTGACAGCCCTTACACATGCTGATGACTCAGTCTGAATCTCTCTCTGAAATCTAAGTCTCTCCAGATGTTGACCTCAGCTGGGGAGTGGGGACCTTCTACCCTGTTCACATGTACACCCTGTCTCTTGTCCTATCGCTGATGCTGCTGTTGTTCTAACAGGCAGAGGATGTGGGGACAGGCTGGCGGAGGTCGAAGGGGCTGAGAGAAGCACACACATCTGGTGTCTTTGGTAGGGAACCCAGAGACCCAAGCCAAGGGGTGGTTTCCAGAGAAAAAGGAAGGGGGGACCTCAACTGCATTCACCTTTCCCATCCAGTTCTGGAAAACACAGGGGCATCTCGGTTCTGCTGATGGCCTGATTTCTGCCTGGAGATTTATTGGTATAATTTATTTACCCATCAGGTTCCTCTCCCATCCTTTCTACTGAATTCTCAAATTGTCTTTCATATAAACAATTATTATTATTATTCCTCCTCCTCCTCCTCCTCTTCTTCTTCTTCTTCCTCCTCCTCCTCCAATTCCTCCACTTCCTCCTCTTCCTCCTCCTCCTCTTCTTCCTCTTCCTCTTGAACGGAGAGATTGGGCTGATTACAAAGTAGGAGACCCATCTCAAGAGTGGGGTCCATCAGAGCTCCTCAGGGGCTCTTGCCCTGCTCCTTTGGGCAGCCAAGGTTCACCCTGAGGGTCCACATCTGGGCACAGGATTGCCAATCCCCAGGCCAAGGACTTCCCACTGCTCCACGTTGCTTTTCCTATTTGACTGAAAATGCATCTGACCTTGACTCTCTACTTGGTTTGCCTTTTCTCTCACACATGGGCTCCTAGGATGACATGAAGGAATCTAACATTGAAAGAATAGGGAGAACTGGGGAAAGGAAGTTTGCTCTTCTGAGAGGCAGGTTGTCAATTTGGAGATCCTCTGGACAGATTATAAGTTCTCATTTTGAGATACTGCAAACTTCTCTTTGCTTTTAGTCATTTCAGTTTCTTCTTTTGAAAAATTTTTGATTCTTTCCATCCCTTTTGTCTCTCCAAGTCATACTCACAGTAAGGTCACATGGTGTGGGGGTGCATAAAATTCAAATTTGACCTTCAGAAGAGCCAAATGAAGTTAATTTCTCCCCTTCCCCCATTAACCTTAAAACCACCTGTAACATAGTAAAGAAGGTGTCTCTTCAAATAATATACTGGCAATGCTATTCCCGACAGTTAAAGACAGAAGCAGGGCTGCATCCAGGGTAGTTATGAAAATATCATGTGTATCAAATCATTTGGCTTCATGTGGTCTTTAAGAATGAATGTGTTTTGATCAGTCTATCAATTACAGTAAGGAACTCTGATTTGGAGGGCTTCTGGGGAACAATTTCCTAATAAATAACTTGGGAATGAAGGAAAGCGTATCATAAATTATAGGCAAAGTCAGATCTCATGCCCAGATTTTCTGATCCCCAGTCCAGTCTTCCTGCCACTGTACCATGAGGCAGGTGGAAATTTCTTATCTTTTACTTTCCTGAGCATTTTCTGTTTTTCTCATCACTCTTCCTATTCCATGAGCCGTGTACTGGAGCCCTTGCCCTCTTGAAATCATCTCATCACCTGAGGGTTATCAGTTCATTGAGTTTGAGGATACCTGGCCCTTTGTGGTAGATTGTAGATTAGCCACTAAGAGGGTGAAAAGGTCCAGAGAGACAGACAGTTTACCACATATGAAGGGCAATGCCTTCATAATTGACTCAGGCATCATTTGTGCATGATTTCAAAGCATTGTGACCATTGTGCTGGTGCTGGTGCTAGTTCATTGGCAGAGGAGATATCCAATATGATCAGACGTCGCTTAATGGCAAGGATAGATTTTAAGAAATGTCTCCTTAGCTGATTTAGCTCTCATACATTTATACACAAATTAAGAGAGTTATAACATCACCAGGTGGCATAATCTCATGGGACCATTGCTTTACGTGCAGTTCACTATTGATGGAAATGTCATGAGATGTATGACTATTTCTGGATTCCTTTTAACATAAATGCCTGATCTAACTCCACTGAGCAAGGTTGAGTCAAGAGACACTACATTTGAGTCTGATCTCTTTGACTTGGTTTGCTGAACCTTTATTTCCTCTCTTTGGGGGAATTAACTGTGGGTGAAGAAGAGAAAGACAAAATACAATTTGCTTTGTGTCCTGAGACTACTGGGAGGTGGAGCTGGCCAGGAAGGCTTGTCTGACAGTATAGTTGCCTATTTGGTTTCCCGAGAGTTTTTTTTGGGCAGAATTCTCATATTTGGAGATCTCAAAAAGTAGATTTAGTTGTATTTGTTTTTTTTTTTTTGAAGACCAAAGACATACCCAGATGCTTTTGAATATTGCAGTAATCATATTTTATTGTCAATAAATTTCTGATATTGAACAGTCATAGGCTCTTTTCTGGGAAGAAATGTGAAGGATAATGCTGTGGAGATATTCTGGAGTTTGGAGAGGACTTTGTCACCTGGCAGAAGCATTTGTTTCCTCGGTAGACTGCTGTCCTGTGTAAGTGGTAGCGACATTTCCTTCAAGCCACAAAGAAAAACAGAACTGAGGTTATAAAGTTCAGGTGGGGGAGTTAGGAGGTTCTTTAGGTGGGCACACTAGGCCGACTGACAGTGTCCAGACTTTTCTGTATGTTCTTGCTGCATGTTCAGCTGTGGTTTGGCCTGGTTTAGTTGCCACTTCTTGTGACTTCTGTTCCAGGCAGAAGGTCACGTCACAGAGCTAGCCACGTTCTTTATAGGATGTTGTGCAAGATGAGCATGACAACCTCACGATAAGACTCGATTGTGGTGTGTCTTGAGCCAACCTTGCTTGGTGGAGTTAGATCAGGCATTTATGTTAAAAGAAATTAAGGACTTTGACGACAGGGACAACAGCATAAGCCTGGGGTCCCTCTGAGCTCGAGGTTCTCTGTGATACACGAGTCCTATGAAACCCACCCTGTCTCTCTCTCCTCACTTTAAGCACTTCTCAGGTATCCCCATATGGGGTCCAAGTACATCCCTACCTCTTCCCCTTCCTCTTCTTCCCTGAGAGTGACAGGAGAACTATAGAATTCTCTGCCTTTAGAGAAGTCTCCCTTAGCTCAGGGAGTGTAAAGGAAGAGAGCCGATGACTTATCTCTTGGGACCTCCTTGTCAAGCTGTCCCTGCAAAGTGGCACCACCTGCCAGCCACCTGACTTAGGCTTGAACCAGGGGCATCCCAGGTCAGTTCCCTCTGCTTTTCTGGTCCTTGTTGAGTCTCTCTTCTTGGTGCCCACATTCTCATGACCCAAAGTGGCAGCCCCTTGATCAATTCTTGTTGCCTTTGGGTGAGATTATTTTGGGGGCTGCTTGAGTCTTTTCTTGGAAGTTGCTGCCCAACTTCCTGGAGCAAGGTTAATCATTTTGTTGTTCTATTTAAAAAGTCTGGGATACTCCATATTGTCTACAAGAAGGAGCTCGTTTCCCCCACGATATTTCAGTTTCCATACCCCCTCCCAAGCCCACCTCATTTTCCTCACAGCACACAGCCATGTCCTCAAGACTCTTTCTCAGGCAGCCTCTGCTGTGGTGGCCAAACTGGGCTATTTCAAAACTAGAAATAGTAGAGGTGATCATGGAAAATCCAGTGATTCATACAGATTTTTAAAGCATTTTTACTTATTAAAATCCGATATATTCATCAAAACTCAAAGGCCCCTAATTCTAGGGTTACTTCTAATTGTCTTTGGGCACATTGTATATCACTTATTAGGTTCTGTCCAGAACTCGTATGTATTTGTATGGATATCCTCTCTTCCCGGATGGACACCTAACTTCTGGAAGTTGAATCTGTGTATCTGTGGGGTTCTTGAGGAATGAACCAGGGGTAATATGCTGGACTGTAACTTTGACTTTCATATTAAGGGGTGGAGAGAGGTTGGAGAGGGGCAAGGAGAGAGATTACAAAGGGGCCCCGAGAAACTATTGGAAGAGGTAGACATGCTTATGACTTTGATTTATGGTGATAGGTTTGTCATCTACCAATGTCAAAACTGATCAAACCAGACACTAAAAATAGATGCAACTTATTGTATGTCAAGTGTAAAACATTTACAGTAAATTCATTTAAAAATTCTATGTTGTTCACGCACTTGCTCAAGAACTTTCCAGAAACAAGACAAACCAGGAAAGCATACCTATGGGCCAGTGACAAGGGCTTTGGAAATGCTGGCCTTGGGTTTGAAAAGCAAGGGAATTTTACTTTGTTCATATTATTTGCGGGGCTTTCTCTGGGTTCTGCTGATGGTGGCCCATTGACTCAAGGAGGTGGGTGCTTTCTTGATTCTATACAAACTTCTCAGTCTTCCCCATCCCCCATCCAAGCTCCCCTGTTGTCTTTCAGTCATTGTGACAAAGCATCGTCAATCATCAACTCCCTTCACCAAGAGTGCCTGGGTCACAGCCCACTTATATAAAGGGGTGATGGGTGGACATATTTGAACCAATGGACTGGGGTGAGGACGGTGGATGATAGGAAGGACACAGGCTGTTGTTTCAGCCACGACCTCGCTGATGGCCAGAACTGGGGAACGTGAGAAGATGTCGAAAGTCGGCAGATTCGAGTGTGCTACCTGTAACCAGAAGGATTCCCCACAGAGGCAAAAATCAAAGAAATTAGACCAGAAAAGGAGCAAAAAGACAAGGTATCAATGACCCTTTTGGATCGCCAAGGGGACTCTCAGAACTGAGGAATTGTCATCCTAGCTTGGCCAGATTTCTCAAATGGCATAGCCTTGTCAAAAGCAGAGCTCTCCATTCATCTTTCAAAGACATCCCCAATCCCTCCCTAACAACCCCTCGCCTCATTCTCCTTAAACCAAAACAGACAGAGCACCCAACTCTTTCCCCCACTTCCTCATCAGTCCTGCAGAGAACCGGAGTTCTCAAGTTCACTGCTTGTCTTCTCTGTGCTGTAAAGTCTCCCTCTGAACTTGTCCAGTGGGTACAGTGATTGACACAAGCACCAGACCCACCTCTTGAAGGTGGTTTTCTCAAATACTTTGGAACTCTAGGTTTGGTGGCGTCTCAAGGGAAACTCAGGTGGGAAGGTCCTTGTGCGAGAGAGAACCCAGGGATTTCTGGAGTGTACATTTTACATTTTCTCATTTGTCTTCTTAGTCAATCACACATGTCATTGTTATGGCTGAAGACACTGCTTGAATCTGTGGTTTACAAAGTCATGATTCCCACGGCTGGCACAGAGACAACCCCTTTCTACATCAGGCCCAAGAACACCATAATCATTATGGATTTTTCCTCTCCACCCAAGGTCTCTAAATAAAGTTCCTCTCATTTCTCTGAAAAGAAAAGGGGATGTTTTTAGTGTAAATATTTAGCCGAGGAGTGATCTGTGGTCCCTGGGGTCCCCTAGCCTTTATTTATTTATTTACTTTTTCACGTAATAGGATAGTGGGGTGTGGTCGGTGGAAAGATGCAAGTGAGTCAGGAAGAAATAAGTCGCTTTTTCCCGTTTGAGAGATTCATTAATGAAATTTAGGGTTGGGCTTTGTTCTGGGACCGATTGAGATGCTTTCTGGATATGAAAAGGGCTTACTTTGTTTGATAACCCCTGTAGACCAGCCCAGATGCACACTGGGCCAGGGGGTGGGGTCTACAACAACCACATTTCCATCAGCTCACACGTCAAGCTTTGTTGGCAGGAGATACACTTTTTTTTTTTTTTCCTAGAAACAAGTCCAGGTTCTTCTAGCATAAAGTCCAGAACCTGTAAACATAAGAAAGAACAAAAACAGAACAGGCCCAGAATGGCATATGTGTATTTGGAATATTTTTAAAGGACAACATTCTCAAACTTCTCCTAATTGTGCACTCCAGATACGATAGAGTGTGGAGGAAATTTAGGGACGAATAATTCATACAGGGATTTGGAACCCCTTGTGTAACTGAACTTGAACTTTGTGTCTTTTACAAAGATACCCGGTCATCTCTTTCCCTCACTCCATTACCATCAAACTGCAGAAGTTCTAAGCCCAGCTTTACTCCCTGAGGGATCCTAAGTGCAATCTTAAAAACTGTCCTCTAGCCGTGCTGAAGCTAATCTTTAAGCTGGAGGCCTCTGTACTCGATTCTCCTATCTCCCTTGGAACATTCAAGATGCAGAACCCGGAAGAGAGAGGGACTGCGTTTCTATTGCTCAGCCAACCTAGGCGGGCCCAGAGCTTTGTCCTATTCCTTCCTGTTGAAGAGCTTGTACTTCTCACTGGCAGTTACATTTGGTTTTGGTCTGGGATAGGGGAGAGAACAGTTTATTGCTTGAAGATATTACAACAGTATCCCTGGGACCAAGAGCAAAGTGACTTGGGTTGGGGGGTACACTGAAGTAATTTGATAGTAATAGAAGCGAGCCTTACAATTGCAGGTTGTGGTCGTATTTAATAAACACGTCTTGTGGTAGCAGGATGTACCAATGTGCATGTGCTGTCCTAGTCTCAGGGACAAGGCAAGGGCAAAGGAGGTCAGAAGCCTTCCTGCTTCATGTTAGTTGTCAATCATCTATACCAAACTCTTTTTCCATATTTTTTATTGGTGCATTTTAATCATACATAATGGGAATTGTTACACATTTGTACTTGCATACAATACAACAATAGAATTGGTCAATATCCTTTCCCAGTGTGTTTCTTTTCCCTCCCCTTCTTGCTTCCCCTTGGTCCTTTTCCTCTATTCTTCTGATCTTCCTTTGATTATCACAAGACACTTCCTCCTACCTTTCGTTTCCCTCTCCCCCTCTATCTTCCACATATCTGAGAAAACATATGACCCTTGACTTTCTCAGTTTAGCTCATTTTGCTTAATTTAATGTATCTCAAGTTTCATTCATTTTCCTGCAAATAACATGATTTCATTCTTTATGGCTGAATAAAACTCTATTGTGTACATACATTACATTTTCTTTATGTATCTATTCATTGGTGGCACCTGGGCTGGTTCCATAGTTTGGCTATTCACACTCCCTATTTTTGCTACTTTACATAGAGCTTGTTTTTATACCAAATGATGCCTATATGCATGTTCATGTCCTCTAAGAGCTTCAAATCTAGGAACAAACTAGAAGAGGAACCAGAATAAGAGTACCAGAAGATCTATCAGGTACTGAAAGCTTAGAAGAAAACTTACTGAAGTTAGTAACTGTGGAGGAGAACTTTCCAATATGAAAGTTTGAATCTAGTGTCTAGGTCATTCAATATTTATTGATGAAAGTCCTGTACGAAGTAAGCAATCATGACCCAAGTTATACCTTATACCAGCTTTTGTGAGTCATGTGAGATGATAAGGTCCCTTGAAAGGTAAAGAGTCAGATAGCAAATATTTTAGTCTGTAGGTTAAAGCAGATATAGTAAGTGAATGGTTATGGCTGTGTTCCAATAAAACTTTCCAAAAAATGCTGGGTTTGGATTGTAGGCTATAATTAAGCTCCGCATTAGAGCTTGTGCTAACCATTACTTCATGTATCTCAATTTATCTCAATTGTACCATTAAGGTCACCATTACCCCATTTTTATAATTGAAACAGTCTGAAAAATTAAGTCAAGATCACACATCTTAGGAAGAACTTAATTGAGGACTCAACTCAGACTAAATCACATGAAGATAAAAGTAGAGAGGGCTGGCCTTCAGCAATCCATTCACCCCTGCTATGATTTGGATGTGAGATGTGACCCCCCTAAAGCTCATGTGTGAGACAATGAAAGAAGGTTGAGAGGAAAAATGATTAGGTTATGGGAGCCTTAACCAATTAGTAAATTAATTACCTGATGGGATTAATTGAGTGGTAACTAAAGGCAGGTTGGTTATGGCTGAAGGAAATAGGGCATTGAGGGCACGGCTTTGGGACATATATTTGTTTCTGGAGAGTAGAGACTCTCTTTTTCTCTGCTGTCTGATTATTCTGTGAGCCATGTTCCTCTACCATACTCTTCTGCCATGATGTTCTGCCTCACCTCAAGTTCAGAGGAATGGAGTTATCCTTCTAAGGACTGAAACCTCTGAAATTGTGAGCATCTAAATAAACTTTTCCTCCTTTACAATTGTTCTGGCTGGGTCTTTTAGACACAGTAGCAAAAAAGCTGACTAAAACAAATTGGTACCAGGAGTGGGGTTGTGGCTATGACTAACCTGACCATGTGGTTCAGAAGCTTTGGGAGCTTTTTGGAATTAGTTGGAGGAATTTTGAGATGTGTAGCAGTGAAAGTTGAAAATGCTTTAGATTATTCTAAGTGGAGCTTAATGGCCACTGATTTGGGATCTCAGAAGACCAGAATGCCAAAAAGAAGATGGACAGTAAAGACAGAGCTTAAGAGAGTTTAGAGGAAAAGAAGGAAACTATTGGTAATTAGACTAGAGGCCATTTGTGTTATGTTCTGGCTGAGAAGTTGTCTGCATTTTGTAGACAATCTGTTCTGAGACTTTCTGTGAGGCTCATTTTAAAAGTGAGGGGCTTCTTAATATGACAGAAGAAATTTATAGACAGCATAGCATTTAGGAAGTGGCATGGGTATTGCTGGAAGCTTTTAATCAAGTTTTTTGTGATATTCAGAAGCAGAAAGCAGAGCAGAAAGATTTGAAAAACTTGGCTATCAAAGACTGGGAGTAAAACTGGGGCTAAAGAAGTTACAGTTATTAAAGACATTATTGCCACTAGAAAAATGTGAAAGACTTTGCCCAGAGACAGAAAGAAAGCTGGCCTGAGGGCATCTCAGAAGGGGTAAGACCACACCCATTTCAGGCTCAAGGGAGTAAAAGTGAAAATTTTCTTGAGAAGAGACCTCAGGGAATCCTTTTTGCACAAGGAGGCTTAGGAAGTTTTTTCAGCATGCTTTGCCACCCAGACACTCAGAGCCTCCTGCAGTCAGTGTTCCTGAAGGATTTACTACTGCTTGAGATGGCAACAGACATTAACATCAACCATGAATGCAGGCTGCTGGAGTTAGGGGGTCATGGAAGCTTCCACAAAGATTTCAAAGGAAGGCCTGGGACACCAGGCAAAGTACAGCAGGGTCAGAGTCCCTGTAGGCTGCCCCTGAGAGAGGGTAAAGCACAGAGATGTGAGGAGAAAGCTGAAGCTGGAGTGGAGAACCCTGAGATCAAGAAATGCCAATAACATGGGACATCATCCTAGGAAAGCTGCAGGAATTGAGCAGAGACAATCCAACAGAAAGGCCACTTGGACTGCAACCAACAAGGCCATAGGGGTGGAGCTACATAAGCACTTTGAACAGAATATCACCATGCCATGCACCCTAGATGCCAGACACAGAGCTACAGGACTTGCTTGCTCACCTGGATTTCAGTCTTGTTTTGGTCCCATCCCTTTTTCCATGCCTCTATTTCCCCTATTTTTTTGTGAATGGAAATGTGTATTCAATTTATATATTGGATACTTCTTAATAGCTTTTGATTTTTACAGGAACTTATGCAAGTTTGCCCTGAGTCTCAGAGGAGATTTTGGACTTGAACTTTTGGGCAATCCTTGAACTGTTGAAACTCTGGGGACTCTTGGAAATGGACCAAATGTATTTTGCATTGTGAGATGGTCATGAGCCTTTGAGGGTCAGAGGCAGAATGTTATGGTTTGGATGTGTGATGTCCCTCCAAAACACATGTGTGGCACAATGCAAGAAGGATCAGAAAGAAAAAGATTGGGTAACCCAATTAGTGAGTTAATCACCAGATGGGATCAATTGGGTGGTTACTGAAGGCAGGTGGGGGGTGTGGCTTGAGGAGGAAGTGGGCATTGGGGGTGTGGCTTTGGTGTATATATTTGTATCTGGAGAGTGGAGTCTTTATCTCTGCTGCCTGATCATCAGGTGAGCTGCTTCCCTCTGCTACACTCTTCCATGGTGATGTTCTGCCTCATCTCAAGCCCTGAGGAATGGAGCCAGCCTCCTATGAACTGAAGCCTCTGAAACTGTGAGCATCTAAATAAACTTTTCCTCCTCTACAATTGTTCTGGTCAGATCTTGTAGTTAGAGCAGTGAAATAGTTGACTAAAACAGCCCTCATAGTCCTCAAGCCCCCAGAAGGTGGGATTCCCCTTCTTGGGGTCACGTGGAACCTCTGTTTGCTTCCTTTTCCTAAAAATGCCATTAATTTGCTGTGGTAGTTGAACCCTCTGCTTGAGGCCTTTGCCTCTATCTGGATGTCTTCATGAAGTGGCTGATCCTGGGATAGTAGTTTCTTATTAACAGGGTCATTTTGTGGGTAGTTGCAGGGGAGTGGGGCTGGGGCACAAGAGGCTACTAGTCTAAACCAGATGCTGCCCAGGCAGTTAAGCCAGTGATGGGAAGGA